TTAAATTTATGATTTAGTCCGGCTGGGTATTGTGTTTTTAGACGTTGTATCCACTTATTTTCATGGGACTCTAAAATCTTTCTAATGTTATTTGCTCTGAACTTTTCTATTCTCTCAATTATAGTGAATCTGGCATGGGTTTTGAAATCGTGTTTTTCTAGGCGGAAATGTTGTTCTACAGGTAATAACTGTTCATAGGGAGTCGATTTAATTCGCTTACGATAATTATTAATTCTGTAGTTAAAGGGCCATTCAGATTTTCCTACATATTGTTTCTGGCATAGTGTGCATTCTAGGAGGTAAATTATGTTTTGACTTCTACAGTTAGAATCGTGGTAGATTTTGAAAGTAGATTTAGTGATTGAGCTAGTGAATGAATTCGTGTTTTTTAATATATATATATATATATATATATATATATATATATATATATATATATATATATATATATATATATATATATATATATATGAAAATAGTTTGATTGAATTGTAAGCAAATCCAGGTTTTTCAAAAGATAAAATACTGTAATTGCATTGGACTGAAACGCCATGTTTTCAAATTCTTTCTTTCCAGTTAATTTATTTGATAAAAGTCGACGCATGCACCACTTTATCATTACGTGTGAAGATCTATGCCTATGTGTGCAGGCAGAAACGGACTACGCATCTGGAAATAGTTACATTTAGAAGGTTGTATTTTTTTTGAAAAGTTCTGTTTTACAAAAATAATGGAATAAGATGGGTTGTAAATCAAATACCACCGACAGCCTTGACTGCTTAATCATGTTAAAGTGAAATGATCGTTATACTATTTTTTTTCTAAACGTTTAAGAAATTTGAATAGAAGATCTTGTTCTTTTAAAATTATTCATTTTAATTTACTAAGATGAGTTTGTGCTTCTGCAAATCAATATCAGGATCAGTACACATATATACACTGCCCTCGTACGCATGCAACCGTCTACACACATACAGCTATATCTTATAGATAAAGTACAGTGAATGTGTGTGTGTGTGTCCAAGCAACTCCTCTGCTCCCATTGGTCCGATTTCAATGATTCATAGCTCATTCAAAATCCCAAGAAAAGTTAGGCGCTGAGAACGATTTTTGTTGAGCTCAGATTCAGGTTTGCCAGATTATTCGAATGTTAAAAATATATATTAATATATTATATTCTATAATATAGGTTTAACTTAATTAGCTATTATGCATGACTAATATAGCTATTGAATGTATAACTAATTCTAATTTCTATTTTCCCATTTTTACACTATATTAATTTTATCTTTATAAATTGCCACCTGTTCTGTCACCTATGAAATAAAAATAATTGTTTGTATGGAAAATAAGGATCTGCGCACATCAAATCGTTTTTAAATTAAGTGGCAGCAGAAGAATTATCATTGAACTTGTAAAAGGTAATCTTAAACATTAATTCAATACTAAAATGCAGCAATCAATTTTGAGTTCTTCTGTAGTTTATTGATACCTATCGCATCTACTTCTCCCTAGCTATTGTGATAATGGACAAACCTACACAGGAGCTAGCTTAAGTGTCATCTGATAGGGCGGTTTTTAAGATATATATATATATATATATATATATATATATATATATATATATATATATATATTCTATTTATACGTTATTTCTATAGATAAAAATATAAGTAAATGCTCTATTTATAATAAACAGTATTAACAACATATACCGGCCTGAATGTCCGAGAAATCTCAAAAAATAATACGTGTCCTCCGACAGGAATCGAACCTGTTTTCATACACGGGACCGTTATGAAAAAATAAACAGTAATTTAACTTTGCCAACCAGACGCTTTCTCTGTGGCGAAATGGCACAGCACGTCAGGCTATATAATGTTTTCGTGTAGGATACAGGTTCGATTCCATTCGGATAACACATATTTTCTTTGAGATTTCTCGGACATTCAGGCCGGTAAATGTTATAAATACTGTTTATTATAAACAGAGCATTTACTTAAGTATTTGTATCTATAAAAAGAATGTATAAACATAAAAATGTCTTCAAATAATTGTCCGACTTTGTCAATTTCATAATGTGTGACGTCAGTTGTTTACATTTGGATACGCTTTTAGCAGATATGAATGTACGTGAGAGATTCATTGATGATTGTAGTTTAAAGGCAGTAAAATCGACCTTGCTAACCGACACGTCAGGCTATATGACGGTTCCCTATAGGATACATGTTCAAATCCTGTCGGAGGACGAATATTTTCTATTAAAATTTCTCAGACATTCAGGGGGGTAAATGTTATTAATACTATTTATTATAAACAGAGCATTTACTTAAATACTTGTATCTATAAGAAGAATGTATAAAAATTTTATATATATCACCTAAAATTATAGGAATTTGTATGGGCCAGGCATATTATTCAAAAGATATTTTACGAAGTGAATAATGTGCTCACTATAATTTAATCAAATTACAAAGCAATTAAAAGACAGATTAAAGAATAAGACATAAAAGTTAAAAACAATTAGACTCACGTGTATCTTAAGTAATGCCATGATTGGCTCTTCAGGCTGCTTTCCCGAACAGCCGATCAAGATAACACTCGTGTTGCATGCATGCATAAACACACACACACACACACAAAATATATATATATATATAGATAGATAGATAGATATATAACCGGAAAATAAAATTGCCACATCCTAAAGGAAGATCCTGATTTAGATCTCCCTACACATGCGCATTGGGATGTGCGTTGTAGTGTATTGTGCTAAACAATACACAACAACGCACATCCCAATGATGTGCTCGGAATCGGTGAGTTCGAATTTCAGCCGAGTTCTTTACATTAACTTACATTTATGTATGAATACATTTTCTCCCCAAGCTATCGGTTAAATAGCCTTTGTTGGCAACCAGTCTACTGCAGAAAGAATCTTCTGCCTAGTCAGTTCTGAATCGAAAGAGACATGGCCGCCCAAGTGTGTATTGCGTCTGGCAATTAACTGACTGATCGGCACATGTGCATGCAAGAAGAGAGCGCATAT